AAAAAAAAAAAAAAAATGATGTAATTCGCTACTCAATTTTATTTTAAAGAAATTGACTCAAATTTAATGGTTATCGTTAACTTTTCATTAAACTTTGAAAACAATTGTTTGACGAATTTTAATGAAAATTATTAAATTTGGATTGATTTCTTAAAAATAAAAATTTAAGGTAGCACATTAAGTTAACTCTTTTATTTATTTATTTATTTTTTGTGTGTAATGACTTGTTTCAATGCAATAATATTTGAGGACAATTTGCAGATTTGGCCCAAAAGTTATCGTTTATATATCTTTATTGGGATATCAGCCTACTATTTTACTAATTCGTCCATTGTGGACTTTGTGAACTGGTGGCTTCTTGGTTGATGCTCGCTGGGGAAGAACTCGAAAGGGTTTGATGGAGGAAATTGCATCTCTATGTTGGAACATTTGGAAACAATAGAAATGTTGGGAAATTGCAAGGGAGCATAGGTGATCCTCTAAAACTTTTGCAATGAGAAAAATTGATGTTGGAATGTTTATGCTCCCCCAAGTCGGTCCAATAGAAATATGGACAAGTAACATGGTTGCCACCTATCCAATATGTACGTTAAAGTTAATTTTTGACGTAGCCATATCTTCTCATTCAACAATGGCAGGAATGGCTGTGGTATGTAGGGACTCCAAAGATCCTCTTGTCGATGGAGTGGACTTTAAGCAACTAGTGGTGTCAGTATTGATGGTGGAAACTTTGGCTTCGAGGGCTGTTGTAGGGATGGCAGCATCTAATGGGATGCGTAAGGTGGTCTTTGAATCTGATAATAAATTTCTCTTATCCAGGTGGTGAACAAGAAGATTTCAGTATCCTGGCAAATTGAATTGTTGATACAGTCCAATTGGGTGATTATCAATGTCTTTGAATCCTTTCCTTTTGTTTATATTCCCAGATTAGCCAATAGCTAGCTAGGGTGGTTGATATTGTAGCTAAAGGTGTGTTGAGGGATCAATTCCCACCTTAATTGCCTCTTTGCCCATCCTCTGAGCTGTGTAAATTATTTTGCATGGATATTACTCATCACTAATGTACATTTCACTTTTCTTCAAAATAATAATAATAATAATAATAATAATAAATAACAGAAATATCCCTAAATTTCTAAATTAAAAACAGAGAGAAAAAAACACCCTTAAATTCCAATTCCAATTGAGAGCAAAAATTGACGTCTCCAAGAAAATATTTTGTAATGATTTACGTACAATTGTATCATTTTATAGATAAAATTTTAACTTAAAAATTTTGTAATATTTTTTTAAAAACACTTAACTAATGTAATGATGCATCTTTAAAACCGTTCAAAGAAATATTAATCTAAACACAAAACCTAACTTGAAAATACCTGTTCATATAAACAAAATATGCATTGCTTTCTCATGTACGTTATGCAAGTCTTTCTTTGCAAAGTCTCATTCCAGACACTGCATTTCTCCCATGACAACTGTAATATGTGGAAAATCATAATCATAACAATGTGTATATGAAAAGTCATCTAGAAGCTTAAAAGAAAATGTAAAATAGATACAAGCGTGAAAGACCCGACCAATATACAATAGCAAAAGGCAAAACCAGCTATGCTTTTTCATGTCTAAAAAATATTTTCCTGCGATTCATCTTTGAACTTTATCACAATGGACAAAGAACTAAAGATGCTGTTCTGGGGACGAAGCAGCCCAATCCTGACGCTAAGCCCCCTGAAGTAGAAAAACATGCCAAATGACAAGTTCGCTGACACCATCGAACAGGCGCTAATTTCGTCTGTTCTCATGCAGTTTGTGTTTGTCTCCTTTTCACAACTAATCTTAACTGCTCCTGGTCAAGTTGCGCATGCTAGTATTGCCGCTGTTTCAAAATAACACACGTGCGCGCTCACATATATATATATATATATTTACTCAAGAATTTTTTTAAAGTTAATTTTTTTTTATATTTTAAAAGAAGTAATTATTTTTTTTTTCTTTTTTAACTCTATTGTTATTGTTT